TTTACATTGTATACCTAYTGTTGTTGCTGCCATATACATGCATTTGACGCAAATTGACTGTGCACTCTTTCAATTGGAAAATGGGAAATGTGCGCAGCTCAGCAGAAACATAATTTTTTAATAGTTAGTGCGKTGCGGATTAGTTGTTAAATTTTCGTTTTCTGCAAAATATCGATTTAGGCTAAGTATAAACGGAGCATATGTACTGTAATCATACCGTATACGTACAYCATGTCGTATGAGCAACACGTAATGTATAAATCACTTGTATGAATGATCMTTCCAGTTGGTATTTAATTTTGGTATCCATTTTAAAGAATATTTTTTATGAAAAAAAAGAAACTTGACGACATCGGACTACAGCCACGCCCACAAAACGCTATTAAAGGAAAATCTATAAAGTGTCATAACTAGGCACTTAATTAAGATATAAACCTGTAATTTGGCGCTGAGGATTGCAGAAGTAAGGAAGAACTGTGGGCTGAAAATTTAAAAAAAGTGTACTTGGCCCTACCAAATTCGCTTCGGACAATATCTCGGTAGGAAGTTAAAAGAAAAATTTAAAATAGTCGGCTCCGTCGCGGGGTGTCAGGGTAAAAATTGGACGATGGACCCACTTGCAGGTGAAATATCTCGGTATCCGCTCGACCGATTCCGACTAAACTAAGTTAGTRGCATTCCTTTCTCATTCTAATAGCAGAGTACGAAAATGAGTATAATCGGACAATAACTATTTTAAAATCAATTTGATTTTTTCAYTTTCCAGTACAAAAATCAGAAAGYAAATTTTATAGATACCTAAAATATCACACAAACGAAGCCCAGTATCAGGGAATTTTTCCTAACTTCTTTGAAGTTTTAATGACTTAACTGCTTTAGTCCTTTACTTGCTTAAAAACTAAAGCAAWCGATTTTGAACTTCAGTGCGTCTTCAAAAATCTCTTCGGCCTCAYACAAGTTTCTATTCTTATACATATCTTATGCATTGCGAAACTAAATATGGTTTGGTCATTGAAATAAKTCTCATTTCACTTCCGAAACCATGGGTTCAAATCCCGTTGTATGCGCCAGTTTTATACTCTGTCGTACGACCTTATCGTCTTGCCACTCCGCTTCAYCATTGGTGCTCTTAATTCATCTACTTACATCTGTTACCCTTTTTGTGGACAACCATTCAAGGTTTTGTGCCTGATGATGTTCTAAGTATTTCGTGTCAGATTTGTGATAAAAYTGGGMATTCGCAGGGGAAGTGTAAAACCGSTTCCGTTTTCCCTTCTTGCATGCAGCTGCGGTAACTTCTGTTATAAGCAGGCAAATCTTTGGTGTATGTTCTCCAAATTTCCGATTTGTTCAAAATATATTAAAGGGAGCTCTGATCGTTCCTATCGGTCATAGTATTGCCTCCGCTTTGGTTTTATCTAAAAAGGCTTCTAGCATTGTCAACTCATCTGCCTTTCGTTGCCGAAAAGTTCTGTGACCGGGAATCCAAATTATGGACAAGTGGAACTAAACTGCCAGTGATCTTAAAGCCTTCCTGCAATTCTTGGCAATGTTGGAAAAAAGTTATATACATTTAAGATAAGAATTTAACTTGAGGATAAGAAGAGAGCAATTGAATTTAATGATAGTATATCTGATCGAATTGAGGATCAGTTAAAAATTGGAAAACCTGCGTATCACTGCCCATTTTTAATTTAAATTTTGGTTAATTTGAAGATACCGATTTGAAGGTTGACAGTTTTTTTAAGAAACGAGAAGAGGCGAAACAACTGAAATGTATTCCTACCAAAAAAAAAAAAAAATTTGTTAACAATTTGATTACTGTCTTAATAATGAAATTAGACCTCGGGTTATATAATTAGTGACCATGCTGAACTAAACTGATGAGTAATTTTTTAATGTATTTTAAATAATTAAGGGGTTTTGTAATCTTTTTTTTAATTTTTTACAAAATTAATGTAGAAATCCACTTYACCATTGCAAGGTTTCGAAAAAGGCTTAATAATAGTAATAATAAATACGGATAAATACGGATAATAATAAATACGGTGTGTACTATAACCAGTACTTCAAACTTTAAACGGGTTTTTCTCAAAACACTGTTTTTAAATTGGCGGACACGATTCCGGGCGAACTACTCAAGCGATTTGCTTAGTATTTTTTAAAATTAATAATTCATAATTTTTTATAATATATTGACAATATTATGACGAAATTTATGTATAAAGGCGTGGAAAAAAATTAAAACGATAACCATTCACGTACTTTTTAGGAATAAATTATTAGGCTGTTCAGTGTAAGGTGGTTATCGGGTTATGTGGGTATTAYAYTAAAAATAACCYCTAYGCTCCGTGAACATTTTATATTGTATGGTTATTTGCTTATTTTTACACAAATAGCGGTGCATTRTTTATAGTTTAAGTTCAATGAAATTCCTWYTAATAAAATGCCTAAACAAAGTTTAAAAAGCAASATAAYTGAATTTAAAATARSTTCTGCTATTCAGGAAATGGACTTTATTGAAGGTGTGTGCTTATTAAATAATCCGAATTTTAAGGGTTCAAAAATTTCTTTACAAAGGGAAATCTACAA